CTGGAGAATGAGGAGGCCAAGTTCCCAAACTAGAACATCAGTTGACCTTAAAATTAATTTCCCTCTTTTAACACTTTGGCCAAAGTAGGACCCAGTCCAAGGTTCTCCCCAGCAGGCTGAATTCACTGATGGCCTAGGCCTTAGTGTGCTGGGGGACTGTTTCCAGTTTTAACAGGAAGTGTACTATTGCCATTATTACTAATAAAAACACCAGTAATTACTATGTTCTTGGCACCAAGTCAATTGTATTACATTTTACTTTCTCATTCAATTCTCACAAAGTCCTTATGATAAAAATGTTATTATTATCCTATTTTATGGGTGAAGAAACTGAAGCTCAAGAGTGGTTAAATTACTTGCCAAGGTCTTTAGAGCAGGAAAATGAACCCAGGAATTTCAGCATGTGCCTTAACCACCTGATGTCTTGGTGGTTACAGTAACGTGCTGGCTACATCTTCCCACACCCCTCTTCCTGATTCTGGCTGACTGCTTGGGATGAATGTCATAAGGTATGTAGCTGATGAAAATGTCTGCAAACAAGGCATTAATCAAATGTGTTGGTTGGAAAGTACCTTTCTCTGAAACTTCTCTTCCCTCTTACATATCCTTCATTTCATATGTAATAAAAACCAGTTTCAAACATATAAAATGCTGTGCCTGATTTTGAAATGTAACATCCAACAGCTCGTATGAGTAGGTTGCCAATGTTCCCTCATCACTCTGCAAAGCAGTATGACATGCCACTATTAGAAATGCAGTCATTTAAATTAAATTACTGAGTCTTCAGGAGCTGGTTAAGGTATTACTAATCCTATCGGCCAACCAAAGGGAGATGCTAATGGAAAACAGCTACCCAAATCCCACTGCCATTGAGTTGATTCTGATTCACAGTAACCCTATATAGGACAGAGAACTGCCCCATAAGATTTCTAAGGTTATAAATCTTCACAGAAGCAGAGCATCTCATCTTTCTCCCAAGGAGCAACTGATGGATTTGAACCACTGACCTTTTGATTAGCAGCCAAATGCTTAACCACAGCACCACCAGAGCTCTTTATAAACAGCTACCAGAGACTAGGAAAGTTGCCACCAGGAACTTACTATGCAGAGAGATCTCTGGATATCTGGTTCCATTTCTGTTGCAAATGGACCAACAAGAGCAGGTGCGCTGGTCTGCCTCTGGTACTCTACAAACATTGGGGGATTGTGGTGTCATGTATCAGCAAGTGACTTTCTTTTCTCAGATTTCAGTTGCTAGTCTAGGCCCTGATGGCTCAGAAATGACCTCGCCTTCTTCTGTCCTTCCAATTGTTGAACTCTACTCTGTGACATGTATCTTCAAAAGCTCCTGGATTTCACGACTAAGGAAAGAAAACCTACTAGTTCCCATATACTTGGTTGCAGGGAATCCCCAGGGAAAGCTCCTTGGGTTTCCGAGGCGGTATCTCTACGGAAGTATATTGTCCAACCTTCCGAGGAGTGGCTGGTGGGTTTGAACTGCCAGCCTTCTGGTTAGCAGTCAAATGCCTTAGACACTACGCCACCAGAGCTTCCAACTTTAGCTAGACTGACCAAAAGATAAAAGAACAAACTCAAATTTTAAATATCAGGTATGAAAGTGGGGGTATTGCTACTGATCTTACAGAAAGAATTTTAAGTAAAATATAATATAAAGAGGATAAGTAAATACTATGAAGAACCATAAAGAGATTGAGTCATAATCAAAAACCTTCCAATAAAGAAAAACTCAAGGCCAGATGGCTTTACTGGTATACTCTACTAAACCTTTACTGAAGTGTTAACACAAATCCTTCTCAAATACTTCCCAAAAATGGAAGAGGAAAGACTACATTATAACTCATTGTTGCAACTCAGGTCAGTATTATCCTGAAATCCAAATTCAAACAATAACATCAGAAAGAAAGCTAGTAAGAAGATGCAGCCAGTGTGTGAAACTAAGTACCAAAATAGTTTGAAATAATTAAACCTAACAGAGGGGCCTGCAGGAAAATCATTGCTCAGGAGACACTGAACTTCTGTTAAGAGTGAAGGAAAAAGCTAGAAACAGTTAATGGTGATGGCTGTACAAGATGATCACAATTAATGTCACTAAATTGTACATGGGGGCTCTGGTGGCGTAGTGCCTAAGGCATCTGATAACCAGAAGGCTGGAGGTTCAAACCACCAACCACTCCTTGGAAGGAAGATTGGGCAATCTACTTCTGCAGAGATACTGCCTCAGAACCCCAAGGAGGGGTCCCTATGAGTCGGGATCCACTCGACGGCAGTGAGGTTTTTTTTTTTTTAATTGCACATGTTAAGAATGTTGAAATGGCAAATGTTTTGCTATATATAATCTATTTGCCACAAATAAAAAATAAGGTGATATTTAAAATTTTATAACAGACCAAGTGTAAGACTTCAGAAAAATAAAGGGTAACTAGAATCCAGAGATTATTCATCACCAGTATCTTTCATCAGCTGTGACAGGATTTCCCAGTATTCAAACTTTCCTAAAATTCTTTTCCTCACCCCTCCATTAAACAAGCAAAAAAATTTATACTAGAAAAGAAGTATTATTTTTAGCAATAAATTAAAAAATAAAATAAACCACTAGACTTATTTTAAAATGTGTTCATTTAAGCAGTAGTCAGGACATTAGACGACGTGTAGCACTGGGAAAGTCAACTGCGAAGGAACTATTTCAAGTGCTGAGGAGCAAGGATATCTCCTTGAGGACTAAGGTGCGCCTGACACAAGCCATGATATTTCCAATTGCCTCGTATGCATGTGAGAGCTGGACAATGAATAAGGAAGACCGAAGAAGAGTTGATGCTTCTGAGTTGTGGTGCTGGCGAAGAATGCTGAAAGTACCATGGACTGCTAAAAGAACTAACAGATCTGTCCTGGAGGAAGTGCAGCCAGAATGCCCCTTGGAAGCAAGAATAGCCAGACTTCGTCTCACCTATTTTGGTCATGTTGTAAGAAGGGACCATTCCCTGGAGAAGGATGTCATGCTTGGTACGGTGGAGGGTCGACGAAAGAGGGGGAGGCCTTCAACGAGATGGATTGACACAGTGGCTGCGATGATGGGCTCAAGTATAGCAGGGATTGTGAGGCTGGCACGGGATCGGGCAGTGTTTCATTCTGCTGTGCATGGGGTCGCTATGAGTCGGAAACGACTTGACGGCACTTAACAACAACAACAAATGCCTTTGATCCTAAGAATGCAGGTAGATTTTAGGTAGATCAGTAAAATGTAAGTTTTTTAGCCTGGTCACAAAGTGAGGATGTTACTGAGCTGTTGTACTGTAGTAAATGAAAGATAAACATTTTCATTTCTAAATATTCAACTTTAACATTTAGATTCTTTCCTCTAGCTGTGGGCTATTGAGGTTAACATTTCTTACCCAAACTCTGTTAGAATCTTTGGGTAAGAATTATCCAATGCACTTTTCCCAATTTTATAAAACTTAATGTTAGTATTAGCACAGTAAAACAGATGGCACTGAAAAAGTAAGGGCTGCCTTGTATGCACACAAATGGCTTCAACTGAACTGCAGACAGGGACACCCTATAGTGTGGTATATAGGCCTCTCTCCAATAAGACTGAGTTCTTTGATTTGGTATCATTCAGCTTTATATTCTCCCTGGGCCTTATAAGTACTGAATATTCAATAATTATTGAATTAAAACTGTAACTGCCTTTAGCCTTATTAGTTAACAGTTTTGGTTTTATTTCAGGTGGAATTTCTGCTTTTAATGCAGTGCCCCCAAACATCAAGACCTATGAGAGGAGGGATATTAGACAACAATGATTACGCCAATGATGTTGCCTGAGCCAACTTTTAAAAGACAGTGTTAGACTTCAGAAAAACAAAGGGTAACTAGAATTCAGAGGTTCTTTATCATCAACATCTTTAATTAGCTGTCACAGGATTTCCCAGTATTCAATCTTTCCTAAAATTCTTTTTCCTCACACCTCCAACTACCTGAAATAGGGGAAAAAAAAAAAAAGTAACTAAAGAATTCTCCCTAAAAGACTTCTCCTTCCTTTTTCTTCCTTTAAATGGCAACCTTAATGTGGGCAGGTTTCTTAGGGATTCAGAGAACATCAATTCTGAAGCTGAAAAGAGAGTAACAATCTGCTTCTACATAAAGCATAAAATGCTCTCATTTTACACCTTGGTTCTATGAGGACAAAATTTACACAGAATGGAATACATTTTGTTGAGGCAAAGTACACTAATAAAGTTTAGGCAAAATTATGTTTATAATTGCAAAATAATATTTTTTTGCAGTTAAGGATAAAATGAACACATGTCCAAACATGTATTTATAAGACACTAAGCCCAAAGCAGGCAATGTAGGTGCACTGAATATTTTATGACTACATGAATCTCTGTTCTCTAGCGGAATAGATTGTAATTCTAGAACAGCAAAGACTACGTTTCAGTCAGCTGTGGATTTCTCCAACACACAGCACAGTGCTCACTCAAAGAGCCACTCACAGAATTTGTTGAATTCAATTAAATGAAAAACAATTTTTTTCAAACATTAACATGACTGGCAAAGTAGAGGGTCATCGAAAACAAGGGAAACTCTCAATGACACGGACTGATGCAGAAAGCACTCAAATACACCAACAATCATGACGTCAGCACAGGTCTGGGCAGTGTTTAGTTCTGATACGCACAAGGTCACCAAGGGTTAGAGCTTTCGCAACAGCAACTAACAAGAATGACAGCTGCTTAGGTGGCAGTGGACCTGAACCTAGATGTTCAAATAACTGCCATTCCAGAGTGAAAACTGTAAGGGGGAAGTGAGAGAATTAAACCATATGATAGTGCTAAAACCTCTAAGTCTATAAAGAAGAAGAATGATGCCATGTTTGGTCAGTGAAAATGAATGGTTACATAAAATATATTTTAATGAAAACACTTTGTCACCATCTTTAAATAACAATGATTTACAGTTTATCAAATGAGACAGCTCTGGTATCAGGACTTGGCTCCTTCCTGCTCTACAGGTTTTAGATTCCAGTGCACTACTAGCTCCCCAGTGCTCTTGAGGCATGTGTCAGACATGTCTTCCTCTGTCGGAAGGCCTTGTGGCAACTTCAGTGGCTGGATTCTGAACATAAGAAAATGCATTTAGAATTATGCTAGATGATGTATTTTTTAAAAGCAGCTAATATAACAACCAACCAACCTTATCAAATGTTTAACCACCTTCAGTTTTGCATTCACTGAAGGGATATTCTTGTGAACTTGAGGAGTATGTGCCTATGAAGAAAAGAAACAATGTTATGGATCAGTCTAAAAACCAGATGGTCCCACCTTTCCATAAAATGTTAAAGTGAAAGCTCATTCTGTCTAAATCAAAGTTACAAATAAGTTACACTGTAGAAGACATTTGAAAAAAAGAAATAATATGCCCTTTAAGTTAAAAAGCATAAAAGTCAAAGAAAATTCAAACACTAAAGAGGACTAAATCAGTTGCTTACTTTTTCTAATCCAAGCATCTTTATTACATCTTTTTCCCAATATGGACGTCTTTTTGTACTTTTGATCCTGGTGACAATATGCAGTTTATGAGGGTTTTGTGGATCCCCACCATATTTTTCATGATCTGCAGGTGAAGGCTGAAACACCTAGAAAGGAAGAATTGTAAATGGTAAATTTCCAGCTTCCACACAGTTTCTCTGAGCCTCTGTCACATCATGCACCACTACCCCAAGAAATACACTTAACAATCTCATCTCTAATCTTCATATAATCCTCAACCTCACCTTGAACATTTCTACAAGTCTCACTACTCAAGAAGATAAAGTCTAAGAATTTCACACTTTAAGAGAAAATTCACACAAGCAAGGTCCTGGCCCCCTTTGTTTAACCTGTAGACCAAAGCAGAAGCAACCAAATGACACCAGAGTTGAAAAGGCAGGAGAACATATTAGCCGTACTATGAGCCAAGCATTGAGCTGTATCCCTTTCCTACCTCTCAAAAGATTAGGAGCTGACTGTCAAGTGAGGAAACAAACATGTAAATTAAAAATCATCATAAAATGAGTATTACAAAAAGAATGTATAAAGTACTGTGAGAGCACAGAGCAAGGACTAACAAACTCTACCTATGAGATCAGAAACAGTTCCACAGAACTGATGTTAAATGTACTTTTCTAAAAATCAGAAGGTCTAAGGAAGCTGTCCTACAGAAAAACTTGCACAAGTAACATATAAATGGACTGCAGCACTGTTTATAACTGGGAAATTTGAAGAAAATATCCATGCCTCTCAATAGGAGAATAAATAAGTAAATAATGATGTACACATTATATCCTACTGCTGCTGTTAAAAAAAACCCAAAACAAATTTACACATTGCTATGCATAGTGGGGGAGCTCTGGTGGCGTAGTGCCTAAGATATCTGACTGCTAACCAGAAGGATGGCAGTTCAAACTCACTCTTCGGAAGTTGGGCAATCTACTTCCGTAGTGATACTGCCTCGGAAACCCAAGGAGGGGTCACTACGAGTCAGATCCGACTTGACAGCAGTGAGTTTGGTTTCTTTTTTTTCAATGCATAGTAGGATCTTGAATTTGTACCATCTATATAGGAGCTCTGGTAGCATAGTGCTTAAGGCATTTGACTGCTAATCAGAAGGCTGGTAGTTCAAACCCACCAGCCACTCCTCAGAAGGAAGGTTGGGCAATCCTACTTCCATAGTGATACTGCCTCGGAAACCCAAGGAGGGGTCACTATGAGTCGGGGCCGACTCAATGGCAAATAACAACAACAACAACATACCAGGAGGAGCTCTGGTAGCATAGTGCCTAAGGCACTTGACTGCTAACCAGAAGGCTGTTCAAACCCATCAGCCACTACTCAGAAGGAAGGTTGGGCAATCTACTTCCGTAGTGATATCACCTCAGAAACTCGAGGAGGGGTCGTTATGAGCCAGGTCCGACTCGATGACACATAACAACAAGAACAACAAATGTGAGGAATGGTCAGTTTTGCCATCTGCTAGGCTTAAAATGAGCCATTCCAGAAGTAGAAAGAGGTCTCACTACCATCAAGAAAGAAGAGCCAGGAGTAGAGCACATCCTTTGGATATCTCATGAGATCCCTGCCCTGAACCTCCTCAACCCAGGAGGCAGAGAGGGCTGTTTGCTGAGATAATGAGAAGCAGCAGCAGAGAAAAAGCAGCAGCACATCCCGGCAGCAGAGACCAATAGCAGAAACCGGTATGAGACAGAGCAGTGGGAACAGCGTTCAGAATGAGAAAGCTGAGTGCCTCTCTGGCTAAAAGAGCTGTGTAACACTTGCCTGAGCAGGGCACAAGCCAAGGCCAGAGAGAAGTGTGCCTGTGGCATGACTGAGAAGAAGGCTGTACTGACTGAAGAACGGTATTCCTGAGTTGTCTCTGATCCTGAATTGTAACCTGTTACTTCCCTAATAAACTCCATAAGCATGAGTGTTGTCTGTGAGTTCTGTGTGACCACTGCAAAAGATTATAAAACCCAGCAGAGAAGTAGAGAGCCATGAGAGGGACGCTGGTATCAGAACTGGTAAAAAGTTTGGAGGGTGGCAGCATATCTAACTGCTGCCTCATAGGAATCAGCCTTGGGCTGTTGATGCTGAGGGCGATTCTTTCTCACCTCCATCAAGTTAGAACAAGTCAGACAGAAACACCCCCATGGCCTTTTTGTACCTGCGAAGGCCACTGGCACAGTTAGTTAAGAGAACATTATCACTTAACGTTATTCCTACTGTGTTTCACACTCTGCACTACTGCACATATCCAAAAGCAATTTAACAGGAAAGCTTTCAATATTATAAAAATAGGTACCTTTTAAAACATAGTATGTTTTAGTAACACCAACATTTTAAAACACTTGTTCTTACTTTGTCTGGAATTCTTGATCTGGTAAATTTGTGACGAATCCAATCCGTACAAATGAGAGGCTCCACACCTTTTGTCACAGTCTAAAACATGATATAAAACATTTGTTTTTTCAAAATCTCGTTTAGTGCCGAAATCTATACCCACTAATATTTAAGCGACAAAAATCTGTTCTGACTTAACCTGTAATTTTTAAAGGTTTATTTATTCACCCCTATTGTTGTTGTTGCTGTTATGTACCATGGAGTCGGACCCAACTCATAGTGACCCCTCCTTGGGTTTCCAAGGCAGTATCACTACGGAAGTAGACTGAATATATCCTATCTAACCACTAACACATACCAAGCTGAATACAGACTTCTAGACCACAGGTCAGCAAACTTTTTCTGCAAAGGACCAAATAGTAACTATTTCTAGATGTGGGGAGCTATGCAGTAGGCATTACTTAGATTTAATTCTGCCATTATAGGGCAAAAGAAGCCATTGTAATGTTGTTTATCGTAATGTGCCGTCGAGTCAGACCCAACTCATAGCGACCCCTCCTTGGGTTTCTGAGGAATATCACTACGGAAGATTGCCCCATCTTCCTTCCAAGGAGTGGCTGGTGGGTTTGAACTGCCAGCCTTCTGGTTAGCAGTCAAGTGCCTTAGGCACTATGCTACCAGAGCTCCCAAAAGAAGCCACAGACAATATATAAACAGATGAATGTGGCTGTGTTCCAGTAAAATTTTAGTTACAAAAACAGATGATGTGCTAAATTTAAACTGTGAGCCATAGTTTGCCAAGGCCTGCTCTAGACAATGTACAATATAATGTAAAAGAAAGTCAAATGCCTTTCCAATTTTCTTTTTAAGCCTAACAAACGCCATCACTGCTACTTCTCATCTCTTCTCTATGCATACCCCCAATCACGTTTCTCTCTGGCTGCTGACAAAGCTTCACAGCAGGAAAATGCTATTATGGGTAATCATGGGGATGAAGTGCAGTGCAGAGATTGGTAATACCAAGAATCATTCCCTGTGTGTCAGAGATGACATAAACAACTAAAGCATTCCTGGAGAAGAGGCTGGAGGAAGTGTGAGTGGTAAAAGAAACACAGGTTTGACGCGAGCAACACTGGGCTTCTAATCCTCGTTCTGCTGCCTACCAGCTGTGAGACATCAGACAGGTCATTCATCCTCTCTGAGTCAGATTCTTCAGGTATAAAAGGGAAACAATTCTGCCCTCACAGGATTAACCTGAGGTGAAGATAATGTATGTAAAGCACCCAACACTATCATCTACAGTCACTGGAAGATCTGTACATAGACTCTTGCCCTTATGAACTGATTATGCTGCATTGCTGTACTTTCTAAAAGAAAAGTATATAAAAGAGAAGGAAATATATGACAATATTAATACTAATGTTCTCTGGTTGATGGTTTCTCTTCTTCCTGCTTTCCCATATTTTTAAAAATTTTGTGTGATTACAAATTTACCCTTTTCATAATAGAAGGGAAAAAACCAAACCGTTAAAAAAATTAAGCCAGACCATTAGTCATATGTTACTGGCATGCTCTCTGGAAAAAGATTTTTTCCCCCCTTCCTTTTTATTTATTTTTTCACCCTATACATGGTCTTGGGTACATTCCCTGCTGCACAGACATACCTAATAGTTCAGCCTGTCCACCCATCTATCCACCTGTATATTCATGTGAAGGAAAAGATCTTTCATGATCCCAAATCTTCAGGGATAAAACAGCAGATAAATCATATTAAAAAAAAAGAAATTTATCAAGAATTTATCTTACCTATGTGTTTACATAAGGAACTCTGGTGGCATAGTGGATAAGGCATTTGGCTGCTAATGGAAGGTCAGTGTTTCAAACCCGCCAGCTGCTCTGCAGGAGGAGGATGTGGCAATCTACTTCCGCAAAGATTTACAGCCTCAGAAACCCAGTGGGGGTTGCTAGGAGTCAAAACTGACTCATTGGCTGTGAGTTTGGTTTTCTTTTTTGGTATGTTTACTTATTAGGAAAGAAAGAAAAGGTTCACTAGGAATGGAAAAGAAAAAAATGATAATTTTTGAAAACACTCACCTGTAGACTGCCTAATGGCCTCTGAACTGAGCACAAAATACCAGCCATTGAGTTTGGTGATTCTTCCTTTAGAGGCTGTGAGAAATAGAAAATAAACTCACAGATCAAATATGTCTTTGAAATGTATAGATGCCCCTCCTATAGTATTAAAAAATTAAACAACAACTTAATTGTAAACCTGACTGAACTTGAACAGTAAAATTTTGGTTATTTTAATACAGTAGGAGCTCTGGTGGCATAGTGCCTAAGGCATCTGACTGTTAACTAGAAGGTTGGCAGTTCAAACTCACCAGCCACTCCTCAGAAGGAAGACTGGGCAATCTACTTCCGTAGAGGTACTGCCTGGGAAACCCAAGGAGGGGTCGCTATGAGTCAGATAGACTCGACGGCAGGGAGTTTTTTTGCTTTTTTTAAGGGTAAGAAATAATGCGGGTAATGTAATCGGTGTAAAAGAGAAAGAAGTTTCAATGAATGTTTTATTTAGAATTCAGCAAAACCACAGGTTAATAATAATTATGTATTATGTACAACCCAATTTTCCTTAAATGAATTAGAGCCTAGACTGGATCCACAAAAAAACAAGAAACGAAGTGTTTATGTATGGAAAGAGTTTTATTTAAAAACTCTTCTACAACCATGACGACAGATAAAGAATATATAATCATGGAGTCCTATTACAGAATCACAGAAAGTAAAAAGTCAGAAGGGCCTAAAGAAATCCCAACTTGTACAAGCAAAACTGACACCCCTTTTTATATATGAAGAAAATCAAGCCTGGAAAGTTCAGCTATCAATAGAGTATATGTTCTTGAACACAATCCTCCTAAATCTTAGTTTAGTGCATTTTTACTAAATCATAGCACTCCTCTGTTGAAAAGAAAAAAGCAGAATGTTCTTTTTGTTTATTTGTATTTTTTTTAAAGATATCTTAAAAAACATGCATTGCTTCTACGATTAAAAAAAACTTATGTTTATTTAATCAGGCAGAAAGCAATTACTGCTTACTAAAAGAGGAGCTCTGGTGGCGCAGTGGTCAAAGCATTTAGCTGCTAACCAAAGTGTTGACAGTTGGAACCCACCAGCCACTCTGTGGGAGAAAGATGAGGCAGTCTGCTTCTGTAAAGATTTAAAGTTTTGGAAACCCTGTGGGGCAGTTCTACTCTGCCCTAAAGGGTCACTATGAGTTGGAATAGACTTGATGGCAGAGGGTTTTTTGGTTTTTATTTAAAGAGAGGTATAAGGAGTCCTGATGACAAAGTAGTTAAAGTGCTCAGCTGCTAACCAAAGAACAGAAAGGCTGGCAGTTTGAATATACCAGCTACTCCAGAGGAGAAAGATGTGGCAATCTGCTTCCGTAAAGATTTACAGTCTCGGAAACTCTAGGGGCAGTTCTACTTTGTTTTATAGGGTTGCTATGAGTTGGAACCGACCCCGCGGCAATGTGTTTGGTTTGGTTTGGTAAGAGAGGCGTCCTGAAAGCAGAAAGATTAGGTTCATGACCTACAGGTCTATCTTAGGTAAGTTCCATAATTTGTTTTTCAATTATTCCTCCCAGAAAAGATAATAAAACTATCTTACAAATGAATTGTTCTATAAAGTGCCTAAAATAATGCCTGGTAAATAGCCCTCAATAAATGGTGGCTTTTGTCATTATAAAATTATTAAGACATTATAAAGCTACAGTAAGAATGGCAGTTCTTGACTAGTATACCATCCGATCTGCAGCCTATACAACTATGAGACCAGAACTAGATGGTGCCCGGCTACCACTGTCATCCACGTGGAAGGGGATCTATGCAGGAGATCCTTGATAGAGAGGGAGAACAATGTGGAACAAAACTCAAAATCATTTGGAGGGAAAAAAAAAAAGAGGAGGACCAGGTTTGCTGGTCCAATAGAGCCTGGTGGAACTGCTGAGACTATGGCCCCTAGATGTCCTTTAGGTCTGGAATTGAACCCATACCTGTGGCTTCCAAACAAAAGACAGGCATGTGAGATGAACATTTACAATACGCAGATACACTCCTTGGAGAGATCAATTATGGGAGAAGAGAAGGGCTGTGTATGCACAGAGAGACAGCTCCAGGGTAGGAGTGCATGAGAAGGAAGGACACAAGGAAGAGGTAACTATGGAGAGGGAGTGGGAGGGGAGCTGTTGCATTATGGGAAATTGTGGTCAATGTCATGAGACAAAGTGTATGTGAGCTGAAGTATGGAAAGTGAATTTGCTCTGTAAACTTTCACCCGAATCACAATAAAAATTAAAAAAAAAAAAAAAGAATAACACTTACCAAAATAGGGGTATTTCAGTGTCTATTGGATCCTATCTCTCTCAAGCTCTGCAGTCTTTCCTGTGATGTAGAAAAAACAATGGACTTGAGAATCAATGCTGGACCTCAGAAACTTTTCTCAGCAACTGAACTGATCTCTTAAAATTAATTATGGATTAGGCAGTTTCAGAAGTAAATCCATAGTGCCCTGAAAACAAGAATTTTTTGTTCATCTTCTATCTCCAGTATCTAGCACACTACCTGAAGAACAGTAGACACTCCGTGTTTGTTGAACGAAATATGAATCAGTGAATAGGTCAAATCTGTGTTCATCCAAATCAGAATTCAGAATTACATAAGACGTTCAAAACTGCCATTCGAACTTCTACTGTGTATGTGACTGATTGTTTCTACATGTTGTAGTAAGGCTTCCTTGACAGGATGCTTATTCCCTCCCCGTCTCTCCAATCAAATAGGTAATGCTGTAGTATTTTCCCTACCATATTATTTCTTCCCAAGTTAAACATTATATATGAACCTAATTCCTTCAGTTTCACATGTTGTCAAATCTTTCTCTTATAACTTAGATGTCAACAAACAGCTCTAACTGGTTTTCCCGCTTCCATTCCAACCCCTCTGAGAGGTCTTTTCTCCATAACAGCCATAATCCTATCCTCTGATGATAACTTTTCAATTGACCCAGGTTTCTCACTGTTGGAGAGGGATGTTAAATATAACCTAGAGGGGAAGGTTAGGATCATCCATGTGTACTGGAGTCAAAATTCATGTTTAGCTTATTAAAGATACTAAAGGATAGTTAGAAAAATAATTAT